TATTCTATTCTATTCTATTCTATTCTATTCTATTCTATTCTATTCTATTCTGTTCTGTTCTATTCTATTCTATCCTATCCTATCCTTATTCTATCCTATCCTTATTCCATTTATTCATTTTATTCCTTATTCCTTATTCCATTCCAATTCCTATTCTTGATTCTATTCAATATTTTCTATATTTTCTATTCTATTCTATCCTAATTCCATTTATTCCTTATTCCTTATTCTATTCCACTCCAATTCCTATTCTTAATTCTATTCTATATTTTCTATATAATTGTATTCTATCCTATCCTATCCTTATTCCATTTATTCCTTATTCTATTCCATTCCACTCCAATTCCTATTATTCTTTATTCTATTCTATTCTATTCTATTCTATTCTATTCTGTTCTGTTCTGTTCTGTTCTATTCTATTCTATTCCCTGCTTCTTGTCCTGTCCCATCCTATCCTCATTCCTTTTCTTCATTATTCCATTCCATTCCATCCCATTCTAACCAAACGGAGCATGCATGGAGAACTATAAACACAAGCCCGCCTGCAAGGCTAACAAACAAGGTGTCCATGTTTCCTTTAAAAAAAATGGATGCCAAGCTTCCAAAAACTTTTGCTTTTCTGCCACTGCCATGCTTCCCCTCACCCAGCAAGGATCACCACCCTTCAGCTCATCCCCCCTCCCACCGCACGGGAGCTAGCCCATCCTGTAGGCCCCTAACCCCACTGGCTTTTGACTCCCCATCCCAGAGCGCATCCCTGCCCTTCCTCTCTTCTGCCCAGCCGCGCCAAGTCACCTTCCGGCTGTGCTGATTCTGGCTGCTTGTCTTGCAGGCGGCCGCCAGTTCTTCTCCCCCGCGTGACTTCGGCTTCTTCTGGGCCGGCCGATCGGGCCCCTCGTGGTGCCGCTTGGATTTGCATGGGAAGCCCCCCTCGACTTTGATGTGGGCCACCCCCTTCAGCTTGGCTTTCGGAGGGTCCCGCACGGTGGCCCCCGCATTCAGGCAGGTGGCCGAGGCAAAGGGGGGCTCGGGCTCCAACCGCTCCTTCTTGATCCGGCTGAGGTCCACCTGGTGCACGGGGCAGGGGGGCACCTCAGCCTTCGGCGGGTTGCGGGAAGTGTCCCCTCGCCACTCCCGGCCCTGTTTCTCGGCCGGGGAAGCCGACTCGGCGGTGACCCGGAGGCTTGCCTGGGCGGCTACGGGCAGGCCGTGGGGCAGGTGGGCAGTCACGAAGGGGCTCTTAGCTTTGGGGTCCCCCAAGTGCTTGTGGGCGCAGCCCTCCGGGGCAGTTTCGGGCGGAGGCAGAAGAGCGTTCTCAGCGGCCGAGTCCATCTCTTGTCGCTCGAGACCCCTTGAGCCCTTCGCCTCGGGCGGGCTGGCCTGGAGAGCCGGCGAGACGCACAAAGGGCTCTCAGTGCTGGGCAGGGCAGCCTTACAGCCTTTGCCCTGGGAGGGGGCTTCGGGGGGCTTCTGGACCGCTGGGGTAGCTTCCGCCAGCTGCCCAGCAGGGAACACAGCTGGTTCGCTGGGGCCGGGTGTCTTAGAGGGCCCGACCGGATTGGGGGACAGCTGTGCCGTCGCCGAGATGCCGATGGAAAGCAAGGTGCCCGGATGGTAATGGGACCACCCGATGGGCAGGAGTTGGGGGCTGGCCGGCTTCCCGTTGAGCAAACACCGAGAGTAAAGGTTGGCTTGGCTGGGATTCCAGAGGGACAGGTCCTTGGAAGGGCGTAACGGAGGAGCCGGGGTGCGCCTAGTGGAGTCCACTTGTCCCTCAGCCACGGGTTTTTTCCCGGACGGCAGCCCGGCACTCCGGGGTTCCCCTTGGTCGATAATGCAGATGGGCTCCTGCTTTGGAAGGTGGCGGGAGTCCCTGCTGCTTAAGTCGGTCCCGGAATCCTTGCTCAACAAGACCGAGGCCGGCACGGGGTTGGCCACCCCCATGTAGGTGCCTGGAATGGTGCCGATGAAAGCCGTGGGGTTTTTCACCCAGGCGCTTTGCTCGCCGTTGCGCAGGAGCTCCGGGAAGATGACGAAGGGCGAGGCGGCGGCCTGGGCCACTCGCTGGGCCTTGGAGGAGACCGGCGTCAGCAGAGCTTTGCCGCTGGGGTGCACCGGGGTCAACACGGGCATGGGGGGCGTCTTGCGCTGGCTCGGCGGAGGCAGCTTCTGCCGGTTGGACTTGGAGGACAGATCCAGAGGCTGCATCTCGCTGCATTCCGGCGGGGAGACCATCTCGCGCTCCAGCTGCGGAGGGGACTTCAGCGGGGAGAGGGACGCCAGGACCCCCGCAGCCAGCCGCTCGGGGACACGGGGCAGCACGGTGGCGGGACCTGAGAGCGGGACGGCCCCGGCGCAGGAGGCTGCCAAGGCAGGGGTGCCGGAGGCCAGTTCTGGGCCGTTGGCAGGAGGGCCGGAGCCCGGCGTCGCAGGGGCGCTGCCATTTTCTCTGGGAGGCGGAGGAGGGCAGCTTAACGGAGCCGCCTCGACACAGGCTGCTTTGGGCTCGGGAGCCAAGGGCCGGCCCACAGAGAAAGCGTAGGGATAGGGGTGGAGACCGGGCAGGCAAGGGTCTTGTTGGAAGGATGACACCGGGACGGCCAGGGCAGGTGAGACCCCCAGCGGGTTGGAAAGAGGAGGGAGGTAAACCAGTGGCTGGCTGGGGGCCAGGACGGTGGCTCCGGGAGGCAGGGAAAGGGACATTTTTTGCATAGGGGGGGCCTGAGAAGCAGAGAAACAGACGCTCTTCAGGGTGTAGGTGGCAGGAGCCGGCGCCACCGTATTGCAGCTGCTGCTGCTGGCAGCGGAGATGGGGTTGACAGAGGCGGCGGGCGTGGGGAGTCCCTTTTCTTTGCCCATCTGCTCGCTCTCCAGAGCCTTGGGGCAAAGCGGGGTCACCTCCGCCGTGTCTGCAGCAGAAGGAAAGAGGCAGCACAGGCTGCGGCTGCTATTGTTGTCCAGCTGGGGCAATTCTGGCTCTTGAAGCTTGCCAGGCTTGGCATCGCTGTCCTTCAAGGCCTTCTGGGCACTGTCTGGCTCGTGGGCCTGCTCCCGGAGTCGAGGGCCGGCTTCTGTCTCCACGGTGCCCTCCGGTTCAAACCCTTCGGCGCCCCCACCGCTTCCCGAAACCGCTGTGATCTCCACCTGCCAAAGGGGACAGAGAGAGAGAGAGAGAGGATCAGAAGCGGGGCAGTTCGGCCACCTTCATGGGGACGAGGCCATTCTCCCCGGCCATTCCCACCCTCCTTCCCTCTCCATCTCTCCGACCCAACCTCTCACCTTGGAAAAGCTGTTGCAGAACTCAGTCGAGCCCAGGTGCTGGGAACTGCTGGTGTCAGATTCTTCATCAGAAAGTGGGGCTCTCCTACAGGAAAGTTTAAAAGAAAAAAGAGAGAGAAACATGGAAAAATTATCCAGAGGTGCTGGGGATGAAGCCACTGATCTGACCGGCATGGCACATCTGTGGCCAAAGTCACATCCAGCTGTCATCCGACTTTTCTTAAAAGGGGAATGAGTAAGAAATAGCCTCTTGCTGATAGAAGGGAGTATTTGTAGCTCAGGGTTGACATGAGGGGTCCTTGGTGATCTCTGAGCTGGGTGATTTCCTTGCAGACGTTTCAAAACCCAACTAGGGAACATCATCAATGGTAGAAGGGAAGGGGATTGTGAAGAAGGAGAAGGAGGAGGAGGAGGAGAAGGGGAGGAGGAGGGGGAAGGAAGAGGACTATGGGGTCCTTGGTGATCTCTGAGCTGGGTGATTTCCTTGCAGACATTTAATAACCCAACTAGGTAACATCATCAGTGCGAGAAGGGACCAGAGTTTGTGGAGTGAAGAAGGGAGAGGAGGGAGAGGAGGAGAGAAAGAGGCGGAGGGAGAAGAAGGAAAAGGACCAATCTGTAGTTGTTCCCAATCTGGCCCCTTTCAGGAGACTACTGGAAACCTGTTGGAGGTTTTCTTAAGAGCGGCTTTCTATTCAGAATTGTTTAATATAAAAGAGATTATGAGGTCATTGGTACTTTCTGAGCTTGTAGACGTTTCATTACCCAACTAGGTAACATCATCAGTGCTAGAAGGGAGTGTGGTTTGTGGAGAGGAGGAAGAGGAGGAGGAGGAGGAGGAGGAGGAGGAGGAGGAGGAGGAGGAGGAGGAGGAGACAATGATTGTGTGGACCTTGGTGCCCTCTGAGCTTGGTGACCTTCTTTCAGACATTTCATTACCCAACTAGGTAACATCATCAGTGCACTGGTTTGATACTAAAACCTAGTCGGGTAATGAAAACATCTGCAAGAAAACCACCAACCTCAGAGAGCACCAAGGACCCCGTAATCTCCTTTATACTAAACAATTCTGAATAGAGAGCCGCCCTTAAGTCAGAGCACCGCAATAGCTTTCCCAGTCTCCTGACGGGTGCCAGATTGGGAACCGCTACAGATCAGAGAAGACCATTTCCGTCAGCCTGAGCTTACCTCTCTTGTAAAAATGGGCCGTAAAAATAAAAGAAATAGAGAGGCCAGGGGATGCTTTAAAAAGACACGGAACTTCCATTGCCTCCGTTCTGAATATAAAACTTACCAGCAAAACACCTTTTAGAGCCAATTTTAGAAAGGCTATTTTGTTCCCGCATGTACCTGTTCGAAAGGCAGAGATGCTGGCGCATTTTAAAGATCGGAATATTAAATATGACTTTAAACCACAATGTCCCAAAGGTGCTTTTTTTTTAGGAGGCAACTGGACTTCCTTGTTTCTCTTTGAAGACGTTTCGCTTCTCAGCCCAGAAGCTGCTTCAGCTCTGACAGCAGACGTGGTATTCAGCCGGTTCTGACTGGTCCTAGCGGACTGGTAGGGAAATTTTTTGACCGGTAGGGAAAATTTCGACTGGCCCTCCCCACTCGCCCCCTCTCTTACCTTTCCCACCTTTCCTATATTTTGTTGTTTTATTAGCTCAGCTGATTCGCGTGGCAGAAAAGGGACTTACCTCAGCTGAGGTAAAAAACAGCAGTTGATAGAGAGGGTGGTCCTTGAGCCCCGTGTACGCACGATAGGCATGTTTGGCGCGCGCACAAGATAAGCGTCAATATATTCCTTCCAGCGTCGATACAGGGGGCAGTGTTCGAGCACTGCGCAAACACCCGCAAAGTGATGTGAGCTTGCAAAGCGAGGTCTGCCAACTGGTAGGATTTTTTTTTTTTTGAAACCCACCACTGTCTGACTGGATGGTGGGGAATGGAAGGATTGATATTCCTGGCAGACAGCTGGTCATTTGCATCCTTTTAGTGGGTCGTTGAGGCCACTTGGAGGTTTATCTGTGTCCTCAGGGTCATCTGAGTAGCGCTCCTGGTTCCTGGAGTCCGCAATTCCCCCCCCCCCCTCTGGAAATCCACTCCTACTCCCACACCATTCCAAGGGCGTTCGTCCCAAATTGCCTAGCTAAAAGCTGGGTGTCTGCAAGGAATATAAATCCTCCCATGATCCACTTATCACTGTCAGAGCTGAAGAAGCTTCCCGGATGAGAGGTGAAATGTCTTCAAAAGAAAAAAATAATCCAACAGGCTTTTTTTTAGCTATACAATTCGGCTCAACTGTTGTCAAGGACCACCTGTGATTTCCCCCCCCCCCCTCCAATTTACCTTATGCGCCTGAATGCATGAGTGGCATATCTATGCGCCTTCCCAGCCCTACTGGCTCGGCCTTCCATCACCGTCCCAATTTCTCACGCCGGCTCCTTGGGAAAATTAACTGCCATCCCGTTTTTAAAGCTTCCGCTTGAGAAGGCAAATGGACACACACACACACCATACACACAATATTTTGCAAGCAACCTGAGTTGTGTATGTGTGTGAGTGATCTCAGGCAATGGGGTTTAAAATCTCGAAAGAGGCCGGCATTTCTTCTCCCCACCTCATCCCTGAAAGGAAACAGGATGCTCTCTGCACAGATGTGCATGCTCTCTCTCTCTCACACACACAAATAACCTCTTCCCCAAATATTTTGCAAGCAACTTGAGTGTGTGTGTGTGTGTGTGTGTGTGCGCGCGTGTGTGTCATCTCGGATCGCCGACGGATTCAGCGAAAGGAGAGAGGCGGCCATGGGGTTTAAAATCTCGAAAGAGGCCAGCATTTTTCTTCTCCCCATCTCATCCCCGAAGAGAAACACGAGTGCTTTGCAGAACGCTGCCCTCCCCCCCCCTGCGCAAGGGCACACACGCGCACACACGCACACCTTTCTTCGTCGAGGCTGCTCGTATGAAGCCGCTCTGCGCCCGTCCAGTTATGCACCCCGCTGTAGAGAGGTGCCGCAGAGATCATGACAGCCGCTCCGCGCGTCCGCTTCAGTCAGGGGCACCGCCTGGAACGGCAAAAAGAAAGACACGCCGTGAGGCTCGGGGGTTCCGGTGCTGCTGCTGCTGCCGCCGTCGGTGCTGGATCGGCAGCTCCCAAAGCTAAGCAAGGCACATTGTTTGCAACGGCCCACCAGCTTTGATGGGAAATGCTGCTCTTGCATCCAGAGAAGGCTGGAAAGGAAACAAAACGAACTGCCCAGGAAGAAATATAAACGCAGGTCATCCTCGCCTGACAACCGTTCATTTAGTGACCGTCCAACCTTACGACGGCGCTGAAAAAAAAAAGTGACTTAGGGCCCTTCTTCGTAGCAGCATCTCCATCACTGTGTGATCCAAATTTGGACGCTTGGCAACGGGTTCGTATTTATGACCGTCTCCGTCTCCCGGAGTCCTGTAATCCCCTTTTGCGACCAGCAAAGTCAACGGGGGAGCTGGATTTGCTTAACAACCGGGTTACTGCCTTATCCACTGCAACGATTCACGAGAAAGGCTCGTAAAAATGGGGCAAAACTCCACTTAACGAATGTCTCACTTAGCAATAGAAATGTTGGACTCCACTGGGGTCGTTGAAAGCTGAGCGCTGCCTGTCATCCAGCCCTAATCCTGAAGGGATCCCAGCTCTCCCCAATGCTAAAAACGGGCCCTGGGAGATCCGTTAATTTGCATTTGGACTGTTCGTTCTTGAGCCAAAATTCACGTTAGGGAAGAAACCATCCACAGGGCAGCTCTGCAAGGTCCAAGCTGTCAAAATCTGCAACTCGGAGCAGTTCTGGGAACGGATTAAAAGCCGCTTGGTTCTCCCCAGACGAAGAGCTGGCCCTGCTTCAAGACTCACGAGGAATGCAGACCCGGGGACAGCCAGCATGGCTTCCCGTGTGTTTCTTCTCCCCCCCGCCACCCCCTCCCCACGCCTGGGAATAACCAGCATTGTGGTTTTAACATGTCCCGGACAGCCCCCAATCTGGGGAATGCTAAAGACCCGTTTGTGGAGGTCAGTTTAGAGCTAAACGGACAGAGGCTGGGATAAGTGCGTTGATTTTCCCTACGTTCAGTCTAGCCTATGCACAAAATAAAAAATAAATCACAAAAACCGTGTAGGTTTCCTCAATTGGTCCAGAGCAGACGTGGAGTGTATTCGTTAGGGCAAGTAAAAGAATGAAAGAAAAATCAGTCATTATTTTATTGGCTGCAGTACCAGGCCCAGGGAAAATGCATCCCAAAAAGAGGCTTTAGGTCAGCTATTCCTTCCGGGGGAGGCTCCCCAAACTTGGCAACTGTGGAGCTGCTGATCCAGTTCTACAGAGGAATGATTGAGTCTGTCATCTGCTCCTCTACAACTGTCTGGTTTGGTTCTGCAACCCAACAGGACAGACACAGACTTCAGAGGATAATTAGGACTGCAGAAAATACAATTACTACCAACCTGCCTTCAATCGAAGACCTGTATACTGCACGAGTCAAAAAGAGGGCTGTGAACATATTAACAGACCCCTCACATCCCGGACATAAACTGTTTCAACTCCTTCCCTCAAAACGACGCTATAGAGCCCTGCACACCAGAACAACTAGACACAAGGACAGTTTGTTCCCGAACACCATCACTCTGCTAAACAAATAATCCCCTCAACATTGTCCAACTATTTACTAAGTCTGCATTACCATTAATCTCATCACTCCTTATCACTCATCCCCTCCCACTTGTGACTGTATGACTAACTTTGTTGCTTGTATCCTAATGATTTTTGTTGCCTGTTTCCTAGTCTGATTTGATCGCTTATTGTACCCTATGACTATTATTAAGTGATGTACCTTATGATATTTGACTCTTGATGAATGTATCTTTTCTTTTATATACACTGACAGCATTTGCACCATGACAAATTCCTTGTGTGTCCAATCATACTTGGCCAATAAAGAATTCTATTCTATTCTATTCTGTTCTATTCTTCAATTCCCAGAATTCCTCAGTTTGGAGGAATTCCTCAGTTTGGAGACCCCTGTTTTATAGCCCACGCTGACCTTACAGGTAAATCTTCCGTGAAGGCAAAAAGAGGAGATCCAGTGGTGTCCGAATACAAAACCTCCAATGTAGAAATAAAATAGGGAGAGGAGAGGAGGGAATGATCCAAGGCAGACCCCTCCCTCCCTCCCTGGGACGCATGACCCCGGTCCAGACGGAAGGCAGCCCAGGGATGGAAGAAGAGCCATGTGGCTCCAGCCTCCAGTAGAACCCAACCCTACGGCCTGGAGAAGAGATGGTGGGGGGTGGGCAACACAAGGAGGGATCCTTGGCAGACACCCCCCCCCCCAAAAAAAAAACAGAGGCTGGAAGGAGGAAAGTGAGGCTGCCTCAGCAGCTGCACGGAGACATGTGGGGGGGGGGGGAGATGTTAGTGGGGCATTCACCAAAAACGGACATGGTAGCAGCTCATTTTTCTTTCTTTTCTCCCAGAGAAGACGTGGGAAATGAGCCAGACAGAAGCATTCCCAGGAAACAGCAGCAGCAGCAGGAGGAGGAGGAGGAGGAAGTAAAGGAGAAAGAAAAGGAAAAGGCGAGGAGAAGGAGGAGGACAGGAGGAGAAGGAAAAGAAGGAAAGAAGGAAGAGGAGAGAAGGAGAAGTAGAGGAGGGGGAGAGGAGAAGTGGAGACGGAGGAAGAGAAGGAAAAGGAGAGGAGGAGAAGGAGAAGGAGAGGAGGAGAAGGAGAGAAGAAGGAGGAGAGAAAAAGGAGAGGAGGAAGCGGAGGAGGAGAAGTAGAAGAGGAGAAGGAGAGGAGGAGGAAGAAGAGGAGAAGGAGAGGAGGAAGCAGAGGAGGAGGAGGAAGAAGAAAAGGAGAGGAGGAAGCAGAGGAGGAGGAAGAAGAGGAGAAGGAGAGAAGGAGAAGAAGTAGAGGAGGAGAAGAGAAGGAGGAAGAGAAGGAAAAGGAGAGGAGGAGAAGGAGGAGGAGAGGAGGGAAAAAGGAGAGGAGGAAGCGGAGGAGGAGAAGAAGTAGAAGAGGAGAAGGAGAGGAGGAGGAAGAAGAGAAGGAGAGGAGGAAGCAGAGGAGGAGGAAGAGAAGGAGAAGAAGTAGAGGAGGAGAAGAGAAGGAGGAAGAGGAGGAAAAGGAGAGGAGGAGAAGGAGGAGGAGAGGAGGAGGAGGAGGAGAGAAGAAGGAGGAGAGAAAAAGGAGAGGAGGAAGCGGAGGAGAAGAAGTAGAAGAGGAGAAGGAGAGGAGGAGGAAGAAGAGAAGGAGAGGAGGAAGCAGAGGAGGAGGAGTAGAAGAGGAGAAGGAGAGGAGAAGGAGAGGAGGAAGCAGAGGAGGAGGAAGGAGAGGAGAAGGAGAGGAGGAGGAGAAGGAGAGGAGAAGAAGGAGAGGGGAACAGGAGGGGAAGAGGAACCCTCCCAAGTTGAGCAGAATCGAAACCTCTGAAAAGGAGGCGGGCCATGGCGAGAGGGAATAATGCACATGCAGCCATGCATGCACACAAAGCTATGGCATCGCAAGGGCATGTTTTTTAAGAAGACAGGGGTGGGGTGTGGAGTTTCCTGGGAAGGGGGCATCAGGAACAGGGAGGTGCCAAGCCCAGAGGCTTCCCCCAAAGGACTTTCCAGAGGTCCAAGGCCACTGTGAAGACAGGCCAGCGTGAGAGGGGCTCTCCTCCATAACCCAGGAGAGAGCAGCGAGACCCTCCTCCTCCTCCGGGGAATGCCCACCGCCTGTGGCTCCTCCTCTTTCCCTGGGGTCGGTCACATGGCTGAGCAAGAGGTCAGGGCAGCCAGATGTCCCTTGCCTTGATCCTTTCAGGGAGAAAGGCAATGGAGGGTGCCCGCACGAAAAACAGAGAAGGGGCTGAGAAGGGAAGAGATGCTCAAGGGTTTTGGACCTAGGAAAGAGGAGATGGAGACCCCTTGGGGAGCCGGGGGGGGGGGATGAACCAACTCCTTGATTGTTTTGCAACATCTCTCTCTCTCTCTCACGCACACACACACACACACAGAGGAACGAAGCAGAGCTTTTTGCAAGGAATCCACTTGAATTGGCACCTCTCTTGTTAGAGGGAGGCTGGAGAGATTTCAGGCGGATTCATTTGAGGATGCAGAAGACTGCCACCGAAGCAGAAGTTCTCTTATTGCAGAAGGAAGGAAGAGAAGGGAAGGGAAGGGAAGGGAAGAGCTAGGGGGTGACATAATGGCAGCCTTGCAATATTGGAGGGGCTGTCGCAGAGGAGAGGGGAGGTCGATCTGTTCTCCAAAGCACCCGGAGAACAGGACCAGAAGTAATGGGGGCAAGATCATTAACCAACCTGGAATTAAGGAGAAATTTCCGGTCGATGAGAACAATCAGTGGAATGGCTTTCCTCCTCCAGAAATTGTGAGTATTTTAAGAACAAAAAAAGTAGACTGCTACTTGTCCAGAATGGTATATCATTTCCTAGTTGAGTACGAGTTGGACCAGAAGAACTCCAAGGTCCTTTTCAACTCCGTTAGTCTGTATATTTCGGGATTATACACCGGATTGTTGCTAGCTGTCTATGTCCATTTCTTAAAATCTTTCAGAGGTTCCCAGATCAGGCTGACTCTAACTCATCCCTCATCAGGTGAGCTTCCCAGGGTTCTCCTTGCCCGCTTTGGTCTAGACTCAGAGACAGTAAGCTGGCAGTACCATTCTACTAAGACAAGGGTCTTCAAACTTGACAGCTTTTAAGATTTGTGGACTTCAACTCCCAGAATTCCTGAGCTAACATGACTGGAGGAGGAATTCTGGGAGTTGAAGTCCACAAGTCTTAAAAGCTGTCAAGTTTGAAGACCCCTGATCTACAGTATCTATCTCCATATCTATCTATCTATCTATCTATCTATCTATCTATCTATCTATCTATCTATCTATCTATCATCTATCTATCTATCTATCTATCATCTATCTATCTATCTAATCTCCCTCTCTCTCTCCCTCTCTCTCATCCAAGTGTCTTCAAACTTGGCAAGTTTAATACTTGTGGACTTCAACTCCCAGAATTCCTGA